GGACTGTTCATGTGCTTAAGTATTCAGATGCTCAAGTACCTTGCTGAACTGGGGCTACAAGAGCCATCACATCCTCTTTCAAACTACAGTAGCTTTTATGGCAGCCATTTTAAGGGTGTAGTTTGTGTACCAAAAGCCTAATGAAAGTCACCCAGCTATTTTGGAACATAGGTAATCCCATCAAACATAGGATTCCTTGGATGATTGGGATGCCATTCATACATTGTTGTTCATTGTAAACCTACTGAGATATTAAATAAGAATGTCTTAGTTTAACTGTCTCTTGGTTTTTCTGACTTGAATTTACCGAAGCAAAGGATAGTTACTACTTTGACTTCATAAGGTTCTTCCTCTTTTGATTCACTAAACGGTAGAGCCTTGGAAAACTTTACATAAAATGTGGGTTGTTACAAACACAGAAACCCATTTAGTTGGCATATTTGTATTGAATAATCCAGTCAGATCACTCCACTCTTGAAATTAATCTTTATAGTCATGTCCACCAACACAATATAGAAATAATTTAGTTCAGTGACGAGGTCTTACTTTCCATCATCTATTTTCGACTGTAGCACTTTATCATATTTAATTTGAGATGACAGAATGGCATTTTGTCAAACATATGTTCTGGGTTGTTAACTCAAAACTTACCATTTTGAATCTTGCTCAGAAGGTTCGCCCGTACATTGCTGATGGCAGATAAACACTCTTGGACTGAATTGAGACTTTTATTAAACTAGTTATATTTTAGGAGTTAGCAGATTTGAAATTCTACATAAGAACAGCCAGACTGGGTCAGACCAAAGGTCCATCTAGCCCAGCGGCCACTGCCAGGTGCCCCAGAGGGAATGAACAAAACAGGTAATCATCAAGTGATCCATCCCGTCACCCATTCCCAGCTTCTGGCAAACAGAGACTAGGAACACCATACCTGCCCATCCTGGCTAATAGCCATTGATGGACCTGTCCTTCATGAACTTAGCTAGTTCTTTTTTGAGCCCTAAGTTCTTTTTTGAACCCTAAGATGATGGAAAGTAAGATTCAAAAATTCTGCAGCATGGTGTCCTGTCTTGAATTAGCTTTAGACCTCTAGCTTGCCTCTGAGATGTGTAACTTTAATAAACCTTTTCTTTGTGGAAAATTTGTTCTTTTTGCATTTCTATGTACATATTTGTACTGTACTCATCATAGTATGACACACATTGTGAGTAAAAATTTTAATAATCATCTAGTAAATAAGAAATGCATCAGTCAGCATTTTCTAACATAATTAAAATGTAAAAATAGACTGAATAAATGGGTGAAGCTAAAATTGCTTAACTGTATAAATTTACTGTGTCCTCATAGTTAGCAAAAAGAAGCACCAAAGTTAGTGTAAAGGCTATATTTAATTGCTAATCAGCATTTCAACCATTACCAGTGAGTGAGAATCAACCTTTCTTGAGGAAAATAACTGAAAAGTACAAATGCAAACCAGAATTCAAATTAGGGATTTTAATCAAGGGGTTTTGCTTGCTGATTTAAATCAATGATTTTAAGTCACTTTGATTTAAATCAGTCATCCCCGCTCTTTGCATAGAATTTGTTCATCTCCATTTCCAACATGAGTTTTAAGTATGGACGTCACACTGCACAGGCAGATATGACCCAGAGTTATTTGCTGTAGGTTTATTTTCTTTTCCTAACTAGCTACATTTATGTACTATCAGAGAATATGAGCAAGTTGGTCAAAAGTAACCCAAGTGGTCCTAGTCAAACTGCCTTTTGTGTAATCTCTATTTATTCTTACTATCACTAGATTAAATGGTTCTGTAACTATATTTATTCAGAGCTTGCTGCGAGATACTAATTAGGTTGATCATAGGTGGGGATTCCCCAGGGATTTTTCAGGTGCCATTCCATGTCTTGTTTCCTCTTGAAAGAAAGTATTGCAAATGTAGTACCAACTCATACCTATGGGAAGGATAAAAATACTTACTGAGTGTTTTATACAATTGCCATTCTCTGCACACCCTTCCTGGGAGAAATCAGATTTTTTGTGTGTGTGAAATTGTGGATGAACTGCAATACAGCAAAGTGTTATATCACACAAGGCTATGTTATGTCAAGTGAACAGACATAATGTCATGAGATTTTGTTCCGTTCTGTTTTAGGGTGTAAAGTACCTCAAATAACTAAGCAGTTGCAACCAATTAAGGAAATACCACAAATGAGCAGTAACCATGGAATGGGACAACTACAGTGTGTATCATAAAAAATGAAGTTTGATTTCCAACTTTCTAGTGTGCACCTGTTCATTCTAGTTTTATATTGAAGAACGTGAATTAGTTTTATAGCAAAATGGTCTCCCATTGACATCCCTGAGAGAACACGGCACTTTGAAGATACTTTTCAAAAGTTGTTTTCACCCTTGTTTAGTGGCTTGTATTCATAGGCCTTGTCAACTTTATTCCTCTTCAGATCTCATCTTATCTCTTACCTTTGCCTTCATTTCTTTGTTCCTCCACTGCTCTGTAACAAACTACGTATTATACATCATTCTGTTACATAGTTGTTGACGTAGTATCTGGTATTGTTAGAGAATCTTTAATTGCGTTAGCAAATCTAAAGCATTTTGTAATCTGGTTTTATGAAAGTTTTTTTCCCTGTCTGTTAATACTGATTTTATCCAGTGCTGTAGATTCATACCAGCCTTCATATTGTGATACTGCAAATCTGCACCAAAAAGGGATTTTAGGGGTTTGTTGTTTAGAAAAATTCAGACCAGCTTGGATTCTTCTGCTATATTGCTAAAGTTGGGTCAGTTTAGATGATATCATAGTCCCATCAGGTTAACGTGGAGCTCTCCTTGGAAAGGATGGATGATTGAATGGTCAGGGCTCTAGCTCTGGTCCTTGGGAGACCAGAGACCTTCTATTTGCCGTTCTGCAGCAGACTTGTGTGTGAAGAACTCATGCAAATCGCTTTAGTGTCTCTGCCTCCGTTCCCCATCTGTAAAATGGGGATAATAGCACTTCCCTATCTTACAGTGGTGTGAGGATAAATACATTTAAGATTTTGAGGCATTGAGATAGCACAGTAATATTGGCCATACCTGAGAGAGAGAGAGAGCCACCAGCTCTTTGTGGGGAGGGGGAGTGGCTGTGGATCCAAGCCTTCATGGATCTCCTGGTTCCTCTCCTGCCCATCCCCTACCACCGTCATAGCCAGGCTATTTATGCTGAAGTTACTCTGCTACCTCCATGGACTAAGTGGTATATAGGAAAAATATGACCTTGCAAGCTCCTGCCCACATCCATGCATTTCATCCAACAGAAATGAAACCAGAATTAGTGTGACACTTTCCGGGGTACCCAGGGTTGTGACGCACCTCACTACCACCTGCTCTTAGCGTGGGGAAGCCTTATCTGAGCCTGCCATATGTCAGCTCTCTGACTCTCTGGGACACAGGCAACACAAATAGAGCTCTTTAGGCCTACACAGACTCTTCTGTCCCTCTGCAGGTTAGCAATAGGCACCCTCCAGTCCCCAGTTCCTCCAAGCATCTCCCTGGAGTGTCCAGGCCATGGTCTTTTACACACGTGCATTATTTGCAGACTCACTGCTCCCAAAGGAACAGTGCACCCCGCTTACCAGTTATACCTCAATCACCACTCCTCTTTACGTGCAGCACTTATATTGGCTTATAATGCAAACAAGCAAAAGTTGATTTGACAGAGTACAAACTCTAGTGAAAGCAAGTAGAAGTATTGGAAACATGTAAAATATTACATTATATTACATTACACATAAAATAAAAACCTAGTGTGCGTTCCAGAATCTAGCGTACTTAGCTAGTTATTGTTATATCTTTTAGAGCAAAAACTCACCTGCAGTCCTGCCAGCATAGAACAGACAGGCTTAGCTGTTATCTTCCCATTCATGCGCCATGCTGTCCTTTTTCCTCCTTGGTGGAAAGATGTAGGAGGGTACCTCTGCCCGCTACCCCACATGTATGTCAATAATCTATTGTCTTTACTTGTAAACGGTACTCAGCTCCTGCTCTTTTTTTATTTCCTGTAAATTTCCTCTACAAGATTTCACAGTCTCTTGATTAGCATTTTGGTTCAGTGTGCGAATAGACCTATATTGTGAAGGGGACAATACACAATGCCCAGCCAGGGAGACAAGTGCCTATTACCCCTTTGCCTATTACCCCTTGGTCTGAAGCACGTTGCCTCCTGTTTTATCTGCCTTAACTTCAAAGCTTTGAGAACGTAATTTCCTGTAAAGATACATAATGCCTTAAATATTATCCATACACACATTTAGAAATGATTATGATGACCACGGGGATACTGGCTCTTGGTCCTGACCCCACATGCCACCTTTTAGTGAATTATTCTGCATAACCTGACCCGGGGATCCCTGTGCATCCTTTGGTGTTCTGTGCCAATTGGCACACATCCTGGGTCACAATTAGTTTTACAATTCGTTAGACAAGGTGGGTGAGGTAAAATCTTTTATTGGACCAACTTCTGTTGGTGAAAGATAAGCTTTTGAGCTACACAGAGCTGTTCTTCAAGTCTGGGAAAGGTACTAAGAGTGTCACACTTAAATCCAAGATTGAGCAGACCATTTAGCATAAGTAGTTAGCACATATTCTAATCTAAGGGACCATTCAAGATTAATGTATCCCTTATTTAGCTGTGACACTCTTAGTACTTTTCCCAGACCTGAAGAAGGGCCCTGTGTAAGCTTGAAAGCTTGTCTCTGTCACCAATGGAAGTTGGTCCAATAAAAGATATTCCCTCATCCACTGTCTCTCTAATACCTGGGACTGACATGGCTACAACAACACTGCATTTTACAATTCATGTCAGAAATTAAGGAATTATTAAAAACAAGCACCAATCTGAACCCAAAGACCAGGCATCGTTTTCTGTACTTTGATCCTTCTGATTTTTGTGATCAAAACTACTTTTCCAGTAACTCTAACATGGACTATGTTTGCTTTGTAGGTGGCAGACTGCGCTTGGGATGAATTAGTGAAGATCTATACCCCATCATGTCTGGCAGCTCCTGTGTAGCTCCCCACTTTGCTCAGTGAAGAAAGAGAGCTGACTTGGCGGGAAGCTTTCTCTGCTCCCAAGAAACTAAACTCATACTAGATGTGTTGATAATGTGGCTTTAATCCTCATGTCTCTTTTTAAATACGATTTGTAGTTTTAACGGAAGATGTTATGCATTTGAAGATACATTTTCAGTGCAAATGTGGGGACCCGTATTAAGGATGGTTCAACTGTACACACAGTGCTTAAGGCAGCAAAATAATGCCTAGGTGATCAAAGGCTGGCAGGGGCAGACATTTTGCTGGGGGCAGTGCCAGCCAGGTTTGTCTTTGGGGGGTTACATGGGTAAACGTCTTGACAGTGGGAGATGTGAATCAGATTTCCTAATCCTGATAAAGAATAAAGACAAATGGCAATTTATTTTGAGATACTGGCGCTATTTTAAAAAAAAGAGGGGAGGCGTATTTACTGTAAAATAATGCAGCATCAACTTGAGGCTTGTGTCACTCAGTTGATTTGATATTGATACGTTTTGCTCCAAATTCGTGTCGCATTATTTTCTTGTGTAATATGATGAATGCTGTTGATAGACCGTTAATGTCACACTATAACGAGCTGCTTCCTTTGACCTTTTTGTTCACTGTTTCATGATGGCAGAAAAGATTATTTCCATTTAGTCTTTTTATTCCCCATAGGTTTTCAGATAAAAAGCTTGATGGAGGGTCATACCAAAAGAAATTCTGTTTTAGATTATGCTCAGAGATCACAAAATAGAGACACATTGTGATGGGAAATCCTCAAAAGAATTAGGCATTCTTTTTTTTAATGCTTATCCAAACTTCTTTGCGGCTCTCACACAGACATTGTAATAATCCTCATCTGCGTCAGACCCCTTTACCTTCAGAGACTCCTTCGCAGGGCCCAGCACTTTCAGCAGCCTCTTCGCAGTGCCCTAACTACTACTGAACTCAAATGTTGTATGCTCCCAGGTAGTGTATCCCAGAGTTGGTGAGATTTGCATTAAGCCATGGCCAAATGTCTGAGGGTGCCCAATCTGCTGGAGCATTTGAAGATACAGGGTGGGGAGAGAGCATTCAGAGATGAGGAACTGGATCTTATTTCAGAGTTACAGGTAAAGGAGGAATGTGTCCTATTTTAGAGATCGGAACCAGGGGCTACTGGACAGCCATGCACAGATAGCTGTGCCTAGATTAGGAGGCAGGGTGAAATATTAAATTCTTTTCCACTTCTGAGATGTTTGGATTCTGCATCATTCTTATTTTTCTAAAATCAGGTGATCTGTTCCTGCATATCAAGCCCTGTAGCTGAATTAGAAACAAAAGTTTTGATTGTGCAGTGTTATAAAATATGACACAGATTTTAAAATCATGATGCCTTTTCATTTTAGGTGCTAAGAAATGAGACAACCATAAAGCTATGCTGCTTATAGCTTTTACTAGTACCATGGGCCTATGCATTAAAATTGATTATTTTTAACCTTAACAGTCCTTTCCTTTCATCTCCCTTTTCTGCTTAATATTCAAGCAACATGTCCGAGTGGGTGGAGGTCATCTGTATATATTGTGTGTAAGTATGGAGGATATTTTTAATCAGATAAAATATACTGTTATAGTACATCCATTTGAAAGCTAAACATGGAAAAGCCAGTATGAGGCTACAAACAATCTCAGCCTTTCATCTGAGTCATCATTAGCAGGATGAAAAGATGCTTTCAGTATGTAACCAGTACATCCAACAAATGGATTAAACTTTCACCTTAGCTACCTCCTTCCCCCCTTGTGCGCTGTCTAACTTTCATTTAAGAGCTGCTGAGTCAAGATTTTACTCTCTTGAAAATGTGTGACCCCCAAAAGCTCAGTGTGGCTTTTAGCCTTACCTTATAATCTCTAACTGGGAAGAATGTGCTGTTATAACATTTTTGCAGTGCAGTGAAAAATGTTTCTTTGTCAGTAGTATAACTAATTTGTAATTTTCAGGGTATGCTTGCTACACATGTTCATTTTAAGAAATTGCTTTTAAGGATGACAGCGCTATCTTCTAATTCTTCACTAGTTATATTCAAAATAGACCTTTAAGTACAAATGACTTGAACATTTAATCCATTCTTTCCATTTTTAAGGACAATTTTTAATTGTTAGTGCACAGGCTTTTTCTTGAATCAAGCAACATTGTCAATTTAAAAATAAAAGTGTATTTATTGCTCTAGTATGCTTAAATTAATGGCACACTGTGGTAAATAGTAAGTTGTTAGTATCCTTGGAAAGACTATTATACTTATTTTACCAATAACATCCTAGCAGTAGTGATTAGAAAGGCAAATACAGTAAAAGTGTGCTTAGGGAGACCTTGTAATACTCCTAATGAGTAGTATCTTTTAGGTGAATGGTAGAGATCATATTTTCCTCAACATTGTTGGAGACCCTCTTATCTTTTATGTAACTTTTTCTAATTGTATGTGTGATGGGTTCCCCCCAGGGTGCAACCTGGAACTGGGGTACCACTGAGCCCCCTGACCCACCAGCCTAGGCTCCCTCTCACACTGTATTGCTGTGACAAGCTGCGGCGCCCTCCAGCCTGCACTTTCACCAACATTCACACAGGTAGGGACACACTAGCCGCAGATACACACAGGCTCTCTTAACCACCAGCTTCCGAGCCTGGGACTATCCTGCCCTGGTCAAATCTGGCCAGTATATGGGTTTAATACCCGGTCTGCCTCTCCCTTAATGTGAAGAGAACAATGCACACTTCTGGTAACCAAGCAGAGATTTTCCCCAGGCACTCCAGTCAAAGCTCACTGGTTTAGATTAAAATAAAAACAAGTTTATTAACTACAAGAGAGAGATTTTAAGTGATAGCAAACAGATCAAAGCAGATTATTTAGCAAATAAACAAAAAACACACTAAGCTTAATATACTAAATAGATTGGATATGAATTAGCAGATTCTCACCCTGAGACATGATACAAGTAGGTTGCAGATCCTTAAGGGGATCTTGCTTTATGGCTTGGAATCCCCAGTTGTTTCATACACAGGTGGGAATCATTTGTTTCAAAACTTGACCAGTCCGGTTTGTGGAAAAATACTGACATCCCAAAATGGAGTCCAGAATCATGTGGCCTGGTCACATGTCCTTGCAGTGTTATAGCAGCCATTGCTTACAGGCTGGCCAAAACACCTACAGGAAGGTTAAGCTATTCCACAGTCCATTGTCTTTGCTAATGGGCCCATTTGAAATACAGCTCCCTAGTCAATATTCATAACTTCAGATACAGAAATGATACATGCATACAAATAGGATAATCAGGTTCAGCAAATCATAACTTTTCCAATGATATCCAACATGCTCATCTTGCATAATATACATAATTATGCTGTGATCATATAATATCACTATGAAGAATATGAGGTGCAGTTTCACAGTATGTGACTTTGTTTTGATAAAGTAGTGCTATTTAAATCTGTTCTGCTTGTGCAGTCATGTGCCAAGAGTGCAAGTGTCCTCACTGTTCACTACTATAGACTGCCCTTCAGTTCTGGTGTTCCCCTACATGTTCCCATCACAGTGAGGGAATATGATAAAATGAGGTTTCCTTCTGTGGTAGTAAGGAGGTTCTTGAATTCTACCACTCTCAAGGCTAATTTTCAGCTTTACTTTTTTTGGGGGGGAACAGTTTCTACCATTTTCATTGCAGAAATAATGCACATTGCTGTGTCCACACATACACACACTTCACTCATTTGTGTGTGGTACTAAAACTTTTGGGGGCACATCCTATGATACTTAATGGTGCAGTAACCTGAGCCACGCTGATTTTTTCCCCAGTGAGTTATGGGTGTTCCCCTGGGCATATGGGTGGAATTACGGGGAAGCATGGGAGGACTAGCAGCACTCTAATGACACTAGGCCTGTGTCCACATTGCAGAGTGGTCATGTTAGCTGACAAGTTGTGCTCTCCTGAGCTGTAACTGGCCAGCCACCTTGTGTTAAAAACAACACTGCACTCGATATTTTGTGTGTGGATACAGGTAGAGTTAGGTGCAACACCTGAGTAACAACTTCAAGTTAACTTTGCAGTGAAGACAAGCCCTGAGAGGCAGCACATGCTATTGTGATTTAAACATGGGACTGAGAGTTCCTGTGTTCTGAAGCCTTGAGCAAGCCACTCTACCCCCCTGACTTGCAATTTGTTAGTCTGAGGCTCCAAGGAGCATCGTCATCTGATATTGACGCCCCTGGCTGAGCCATTTGTTACACACACCAGCAATTTAGGTACATTAAATCCTGGGTTACTCCCGTATGCCCTAGAAGTGGCTGTGGCAAAAGTGCTTTTTTCAGCTGCACCTGGTGAGAAGAGTGGGACCAATGCAGACTTTGTCACAATTATCCACACATTTGCCACCTCAAGATTAGATTTCTGCATTGTGCTCTACATGGGTTTACATCATGAGACCATTGGAAAATGAAGCTGGTGCAATATGCCATGGCCTACTTATTTAGTGGAATTTTCATGCCAAGAGCACATAAACCAAGGCTCTGGGATCTGCAGTGGCTTCTAGTAAGTTTCTGAATGAAATCCAGCATGTTAACCTATATATAGATCCTTACCCATCTTGGCCTGTTTAACTTTGTGAGTTTGTGCCTCTCTTTATACTGGGCTGCTGACATTGAGCAGTGAAGGCATTTGAGCTAGAGCGTCTTTGCTATAAC